GTTTACAGCACCAGACTCCAGTTTACCATAAAACACCGCCATAGGTTCTAAGTTCCCCATTGACATACCCAACCCTCACCGCAAGTCGATCTGACCAAACCCACCAAGTGTATTTCAACCCCCCACTGACACACCGCTTCACAACCTCTTCCACAACAACCCCACGCAAAGCAACTCACACCTAGACCTATCTTGTCAGCCTAACTCCACTGGTTCCAAGTAACCTCATTTTCAGCCTCAGCCCCCCTGAACCCAAAAATGACAGCCCTCCGAGCCCCCAATCACCCTTCCATCTTAACTGGACTCTTTGAGCCAACCGCAAACGTGAGTGTTCACCTCGTTCCACACAACCCACTGCAGATCCTTATGCCACCAAACTCTCCAGTCCATACCTGAAGCCCAAAGAGGAAACCAATATGGCGTTCTCAACACTCCCAGCTTTTTTCAATGTGCCGGATACATGAATCAGCAACTCACGGACTTCGAGGTCATTTTAGTTACTAATACGGCACTAAACAATGTCCTTGAGGCTGGTGCATGTTACTTAATCAGTGGTAGGCTTATATCCTTGAACGACGGGTCAACCCCAACTCTCACGTACAATCACGACACAGTAGTTCGAATTGCTGGTCCTGGAACATCCGGCCCGGAATTAACTAATAGAACCTCTGCTGTTGGACTCGGTCATGTTGTGGAAAGAGCTGAAGTCTTAGCCGGAGAAGCTGATGGTGGCCCCCGACTTGAAGTTGTAGTAGCTCATAACAATTGGGACGCTATAGTAAGCTCATACCAAACTAGAGATTGTTCCACGGTACCCTTTGCTAGGTACCTAGTACTGCTTGGGGGGTACCCTTCACACCCGCCCCGCACCCGTCAGGAGGTGCCAGGTGCGGTACTTGGTACTTATTTTTGTGAAAAATTGAACAGGTACCTAGGTACCGCTACAGGTACCCCCTCACTTCCCTACCAAAATGATGGTGGCCTTCTACTCCAGGAACTCCAAGAAGGTACCTTGGCTACATGGAAACAGGGACTCAAGGATAACAAGAAGTCTAACCAAAAATCAAAAAGGAAGGTGATAGTTTTGGACAACGATGAAGATTCTTCTAATTAGATATAATTTGTAGACAGTTTAAGCTTTAAAATAAAATATTAAATCTGAACAAATGAAAAAATTGACTTGGGATTGATGTTTTACAATAAATATGAAAAAAGGCAAGATTCTTCCCATTAGATGTAGATACTTGACAACAAATATGAAAAAAAATGCCAAAAAAGTGACTTGAGTAATATTTTACAATAAATATGAAAATAATAATAATAATGAAGTAAGGTTCTTCCAATTAGTTTAAGATGTCTTACAACAAATATGACAAAAGGAAAAACAGTGACTTGGGAATGATATTTTCAATAAATATGAAAATATAATAACAAAGTAGGATTCGAAAGAATGGAAAAAAGTGACTTGGGACTGATATTTTACAATAAATATGAAAAAAATAATAATAAAAAAGTGACTTGGTAATCTGAAAGTAAAACTAGGTTAGAAAGAGAGGGGAGGTACCCGCGGTACCCGCCAAAAGTACCTCCGGTACCGGCCAGGAGGTGCCTGGTGCGGTACTTGGTACCTATTTTTTGAAAAAATTCAACAGGTACCCGAGTACGAACAAACGATCTCTATACCAAACTCACTCCTTTTCACGTAACTAACTGCTTCACTAGGCGAGAACCCATCGGCGTTTTCTTGTCAAATATATCATTCCAAGCACAAAGAATTTCATCAAGACACACAGTTTATACCAAATTGGACGCAAGCTTCAACTCCTTGGTCACTTGGTCGACTTTGAGTTAGAGCGACATATGGCCGTATTTGTAGTAAGTTTCCTCATCAATTATCATGCACAAAATCTAACCACAGTATTCTAGGTCCATTCAGTCAGCTTGACATCAGGACATCAAGTCGGTTGGTCCGTCCCTGGGACTTCATCCTCGGCCACTGCCTCACCTAGAACTGGCCGCAAATTGTAAGGCTTTATCTCTCACAATCACATGACATTTAACTGAATGCTCTGCCTGAACCTGCACAGCGTCAAGTTTGGGGGCCCATCTCATGAAACACCAGCTCAGGATGTTTCCCCATCACCAGCTGAAGGATCAACTCCATCACAGTCCCGCCACACCACCAACAAGGGAAAGAACAAAGCACTCACCGACTCAGACGACAATGGGAGCAGTTCCGAAGAGGTTATGGCCCGTGAGCCAGACGTAACGGTCACATCAAACTCCGACATCACTTCCAAGAGAGGGAGACCTCGCAAGAATATCCTTCACAAAGCAGCTAAACATATGAAGAGAACTTAAGCATGTTCCTCACCAATCGGCATGGCTTGTTTCAACTTGCCTACATCCCACTTCAATTAGGTAACACCTGTCTCCTGACGCAAGACCCTTTTCTGGCTCTGCGTGTATATCAGCCAAGAGATAAATACTCGTGCCAATGCACATCTTCTCACAAGACCGAGATTCCGCCATATCCATTCAACAACTCCGTTGCTATTCATTCTTCTGCTTAAATCACCGAACAACTTCCCAATTGCGCGATGTAAATAACCTTCATTGATAAATTTTATGTGGTCTGAGTACATGCGGAAACTTTGGGTGTATCCACTATGCTACTCTCAGCTTCCTGCTACTGTTTTTCCTCTCCCAATTTGCTGTCATCATTACGTCCAAACCATAAACAATTGAGATAACATCATTTTCATTTTGAGACACATATATTGAAATACATACGCGCTATACAGAAAGAGGCCATTTGTGATTGAGCTTGATCTTTTGCTATAGCAGATCAATAGTACATCTACTAATGTTATTTTGAGGGGTTGGATGGATAAGTCCTCAAGTGGCAACATGCCTAGAATCTCAACACACCGGCTGATCATTCGTCCAACAAACAACCAGTATGTGTAAACCAATCTGGCGATGGGTTGAGAGAAGGTGTTTCAGAGGATCAATTGTCCTTGGAATTGCTTGCGGGTTAACAGGTCGAGGATGAAGATATCACACGGCTTCAAACGCTCCTTCTGCGCACCAGATGGTGCGATGAAGACGTGATCCCTTGGCGAATCGATTAACAAACACGGGGAAACATATCATCAGGTTCTTTTTTGCTCAAGCTACAGGTATAAACAAAAAACCGACGGGTCAATAAGAGGCTCACCGTTGTCAATTGAGATCCGCCATGGGTTCCAGTCAACCAGCCGAGTTGGTAAAAATTTCGGCAGAGTTTGCACATTGGGTCATTTGTAGGTGTTGACAACAGCCAGACTGGGGGGGGAGGAGGATGGAAGACTGGAGCATCGTTGGAGCTGTTGAGTGCGGTAGAATGTTGTGTGGTTAAGTCTTCGGTGAATCTGATGAGATCCAATTGCTGTCAGCCTATGTGATGCCAAGACACGTGTCCTCTAGCTACACAAGGTGCAAAAAGTAAGAGTTTTTATGGCAAAAACTCTGGGATAGAACTGGTACAGGTAATTCAAAAGAATTACGTGGAATTTATGGATTAAATCCAAAAAGTGGCCAATTTATATTAATAAAATTAATATAAATTAAACCAGAGGGGCCTGATAAATCAGGGGTGGTTTAATCCCTCTAAGGTATCGTGCAAAAAGCAGGGGATTTAGGTACCTGATACACTGGGGCCTGTAGCAGGTGTGGTTTAAATCCCTGGAGATAATTTTTAGGGGAAAATCTTCAAGAAAGGGTTATTACTCACTAGTAATAATCCAAAGGGGTCTTGAGGATTTTCTTAGTAGAAACTGGACAGTTGGGAGCGCTCAGAAAGGTTGATTTTGGGTGCAGGGTGATAACTGGGGAGTTTCTTGAGGGTTCTTGAGGCTTAATGACAGCAATTTATAGTAGTAACTAGGCTAATTACAAGTGTAGGGGACTTGTAAATGGTAAGTAAATTTCTATAAGGTATTGTAAAGCTGGGGGATAATTATTTGGGCGGTCAGAAGGCCCTTTAAATACCTGTGGAAGGCCTCAGGGGTTGCTCAGGGGAGCTTAGTAGGACTTGGGGGCGCTTTTGGGCCCATTTTGGCCCACATGGTGATGTAACCAGGGCTGGAACCTTGGGGATAATATTCCAGAAGCTCCAAGGGGTCATGCACGAAATTATTACAGCCAAGAATGTCCCATGGGAACCTGTGGATAGGGGCTACTCTGTTGCGTGGAGCAGGTTCCTTGGAAATGGGCCACAGAATATTCCAGAGGTGTCTTCTGAGGCTTGCTACACGTGTTACCTACTGGAATATGGTTACTGTAGTATTTTCATGGATATTCTAGCTTTTTCACATTCTTATTACACGTGTGGGGGCTTTGTTGCCACGTGCAATGGGGATTCTGGGGCTTTTGTGGCCCAATCCTTGGATACTGGTGCGCAGCATGACTACGCGGCACATGGGCTTGGAGACAGGACTCCACACTGCTCTATCTTCTAAACTGTGCATAATACTCCAATTCTGAGACTGGATTTGGAGTATATGCATTATGCATTATGCAGAAGTGTCACAGTACCCGTGATCTGGGGGTACCTGTTAACTATTCATGCTTGTATTACAGGATGAAGGAGTTAGAATTTGGGGTACCTTTGGCTGAGGTACCCTAGGTTAAATTGCATGCTGATTCAGAATCTGCAATAATATTCAAGGTTTTCTTTATACTTTTTAAGTTATTCATTTATTTTTATGTATTTTTTATCTTATTTACATAAGTAATATTGTTTCTTTTACTTATGTAATATTTTTTAATTTATACTTAGATTTTTTATGCAATTTATTATTTTTATTTGCTGTGACATGTTGTCTCTGCCATAGTAGCAAGCTGACAATTGCAGTCTGACGAAGGGCCGCCGCGTTGAACTTCAAGCCTCATAAGCAGAGATTTTGGCAGGTGTCACCAACATGTACACTGAGAGGCTTGATGTACTGGCGACATCCACCTTTAACCTAACCAAAAGCGCTAAGTTTCAGATGAGCCAAACCGTGAGCCCGACCCTATTGGTCGACCGAATTACTAGACTCACGCCCACCGATAGGGACCTCATTTTCAACTCACCTTTAATCACTTAACATCAGGCCCGACCTCAAGGAGAACTGGTGGGTCAAGCAAACTGATAAACCACTGAGATCGACAATACGTTTGTTCGTCCTTGATATCAGACTCAACCAATGCTGATGATTGTCTTGCCTCCACAACCTAGCCAACCTGAACCCTCCAGCACCCGTCGGTCAATCGAACAACACAACGCTCTAAGTTTGAAAGTATGTTCGCTCATCCTCGATACACGCCTCATCAATCGCTGATCATCATGTCTATGTCGAATTGATCTATGGCCTCCGCACCCTTATTTTTTAATAGGTGAGTGGTCTCATCATCGGATAGTTGCCAGCATTGTCGGGATTCAATAATCGGTCGAATTGCACTAATTATGAACCGTTGCGTAGACATTCACCTTCTCTAATTTTTCAGCTCGCCTCAAAACATTCACACTAGGATAAAGTGTTCTTATTGTCAAAGTAAGCCATACCGTCGCCAGCTCCGAACCCATTAGAAGCGTAATGTCAGGTGTTCGAATGCAAAGGACTAACAACCGCTATATCGGGTTTTAATACCACATTGAATTACAACGCTAAAGGCTTCAGAGATCGATATCTGGACTATCCATCGAAGTGACGTAAGCTTATTATGATTACATTGTATTAAGCATTCCACTGGCCAGTCATGCTGATTCTGAACACAAAACCATTATCATGACACCAGGCCGCATCTTACGGACAAACTTTGTCGAGTTGATAACAAAGTAGGCATCATATTGTCTGCAGTCAACTCGTCAGGCCCTCTCCGTACCAATTACCCGGCAGGCTGCATTTGCCTGTTCCCAAATCAGAAGCAACGATCAACAAGGGCCAGCCTGACGACGTACACCGTGACAATTCACATTGAGCTTGACGGCAGGCTCTAAGAACTCCCAATCGATACTCAGTTGTTGCACTTCCGGTGACAAAGTAACCCCTCAAAGGAGTCGACACCCGAACCTGAATCTCAAGCAACAAACCTTACCAATGCAAGTGTGACCAAGCTTCAACTGATATCCCGGGTAATAGATCTAATTTCAGCCCTTACTCATCTAGCAGCTTCATCCGATACCTCAGGTATTGGACTACCCCGTCGAATCAGCAAATTAGAGTTCCCTTTTCGATCAGCTTCTCAACTACTCAGTATTCCGGTTGAGGCAATCAACGTGACAAGTTGCCAAGTGATTCCGATCTGCCTTAGAACTTGGTTGGGACACTTGGCAATGGAAGTGGAGAGACCCAAAATCAGGAATCTCCTGAAATCCTTTGCAAGGAAGCGCAGAAGAGCTGCTGACCAAGAATCTGAAGTCGCACTCGAGATCGACACAAGTGCATATGAAGGAACACCTGTCATATGGTCTCGGCGGCGGTTCAAGAAGTGCCACCTCTATCCAACAATAAGACAGGAGAAGAGACGAAATCCCCGGCCGCCAACACAAGACAAACTTCAACAAGCTAAAGATAAGGCCTCTGGATTCCGGAAATTTACGCATGGGAAGGTAATTCTCAGAGACACGACGAATGGAGGCGAGGTTATAGCTGTCATCGAATTCACACCTCTAGACAAGCTCTCACCGGAGGAGAAGAACGAGATCAACTTTGTGACGACTTACCTCCACCAGATGAAACAGTTTGTCCATCCAATCGGCCCTTCACGAACATGGGGAGGTAAGATGTGGGGAATCGGCTGGCGCAAATCGATGACCAGTTTGGAACTTTTCGGCCAGTACGTGCACGGGGCAGCAATAAAGCGAGCTCCAAAGAAATATCGCGAATTGGTCAGCAAGTCCCGGGAGGTAGCTAACATCTTAGGGAAAATGTTCAAGGATCTTGGAGGCGTAGCATTTGACTCGAACCAACAAATCATGCACAAAAATAGCATCCCGTCATATGGCTCAACAGAATTCGGCAAACCCCTTGAAGCATACAATTGTGCTCCACATATCACATTCACAACAAACGGTTTCTTCAACCCTCCGCATATTGATTCAGGAGATGCTTCCCAATGGGCATTTGCCATATTTGTCCCAACGCATGTCAAAGACGGGAGCCTTGCAAGTTCTAAGGATGGCTACGACGTGAATGGCGGACTCTTTGCCTTCCCTGACTATGACTGTTGCATTGACTTTGAGCAACAAGGCCTTGTCAAACTAATTTGGGCAGCAAACCGGGTCAAGCACTGCACTCTTCCAGCCAACGAATCACCAAAATTTACGAGAATGGGAATGTCGATGCAAATCCCAACCAAGACAGCTACAACTTGCAGCGCAATAAGATCGGGGCTCATTTACTTGCGGAAATCTTACAGAAGTACGATGAACACGTATATTGGAGGTCATCGCGTCATCATGAACAGGTTGAAATGTATGTTCCAATCACTAACCCTGTCATCAATTCTGAGCCTTAACAATGCTGACGTTATTCATCACTTCAAAGTGTGACTCCACTAAGGTCACAAGGGTAAAGTACCCTGAAGAGGGACACTATACATCGAATTGGTTTTTTGCAATGTACAATTATCTTAGCTATTGACCCTGACACAGCAATATTAAAATGGTTCTCTGATTTATCACTTGCGTTTGGTTTAATCACCAACCAAGCATACACAAAGCTGTAGGTAAAGTTGAGCCAGTACAATGCTTGTGCAGTTCAGCCACTTGACCCAAGCATACTTTCTGAGTAAAGGAAGAGTGAACCCTGAACTGCGTCAAGAGTATCACCGGGGGGAGTTACGGGTTACCAGGATGACACCCCCAGGGTGTGTCTAGGGGATTTGGTACCATTACCTGTGCAACCAGCGTGCTAGCCCAGGATCCAATAAGAAAAGCGCTGTAGTATGCCAATTGTGTTTCAAGTATCAAATTGCATAAAGTCACAGTCCAATATGTAGAAGGGCATATATTCTTAGGTGTATTATCACATAATCACATTCTACGGGTCATTTAACCCATAGTCACTCACTGGAACCACTAGGCTAGCTCCACTCAGTCAAAATTTATTTGGGATTTAAATTTTATTTGCATACAAAATGATTATTGCATAATTTAAACCACAAGTTGGCCTTAGTTTGTTTACATATTCAATATTCATTGCATAGTGTAACCACAAGTTGGCCACATTGTTTGTAGGTACACTGAGAATTTTGTATAGTAGCAAAACCACAATTTGGCCAGAGTTTTAGATGCATATTCATTGTAGGTTAGGGCTAGAACCACAAGTTGGCCATTTATAGATTATAGGTTAGGGCTAGAACCACAAGTCAGCCGGGTTGTAAAATAGACTATTTAAGGAGGGGCTTTCCCCCCTCATTCCAATTTTTTATGAGATCATATCGACAACACTATCTATCATCTCATCTGATCATCAACCAGACAGAACAGAGCAATCAATCCATACATTAACCAGTGTGATCTTAATCAAGTACCCCATTGAGATCATTCAGCCATTGAGAAGCATAGGAAAAAGAAAGTAGCAACCAGTACAACTTGTGATCTTAAACAAAAGACAGTGATCTTAAACCATTGTGCTCTTGACCAAGATTCAAGGAGGAAGGGAAAGACACTTTCAATAGTCATATTTTTCCTCAAGTATCATCTCATAAATTCACATTCATCATCAGTACATACGTCAATCATTTTTCAAAATACATAAACATATAAACAAAAACACCTCTTACTCAACCTTTCCACTCAAATAGTCTGCTGAAGCCACATTGATCTAGGTTTGATAAGAGACTACTACACATAGTTTTCTCTATCATCAGTTTTGCCACAACAATAAATAAATTGTTGTGTTAACTCTAGTGTAGTACAATAGAGGGGCAGGTCTTTCAAACCACCCGTAACAATATATATCAAACAAGCACAATATCATATTTGTTATTTCCCCCTCACAGGACTGCCACCATTCCCAAAGGAGTTCTCACAGCGCGACGGGAAGTTAACCTGTTGCAACTACGGGAAGATTGAACAGACGGGGCTCGGCGCTTGATGTCGTCTGCGCGAAGGAGAGTGTGTGGGCTGTGAGGGCCCTGGTTTCTAGGTAAAACATCGGGTGTGCCACACCAAATAACATGTTTAAGAAGGGCTGGCCAACGATCATTGTCCTTTCACCCGAAAGAACTCAGACAGCACCAAATTAACACTATTATCAACATGACTTCTCATACTGGCTCTTTAAAGACTCTACGCAATCATCATTTGACACCCCGCCGGGAGTATCTGTGTTTCAATGGTCATTTCAAAGGTGAACTAGGCGTGAGTTGGTTTCGGCTTGACTTCTGAAAGTAACTTATACTAACTTTAGCAGCCATTCTTGCAAGCTCGGCCCAACCAAGGACCTCTCGAATTAATGACAACTTCAGTTTACACATCAGGACGGTGGGAAATTGGTTCACAACGATGCCATATTACGCTTACCTCCCCATATCAGGATGATTTTATCTTGACCCGAGGAGGACCCCAGAAATATAGTGGAAAAATTGTCAAGATGGATGACGAGACGGTGTAGGACTCCTGGGACGGATAGACACGGTAAAGTATATGTATATCAAAAGATCCCTTGAGGGGGAAATAAATTGCAAGTAGGTTGAAAGGCTATTACAACTTACGGGTGGTTTGAAAGACCTGCCCCTCTAAATGTACTAAACAAATAACTAAGAGTCTTGTAATCAATATTTAATAATGTATGGCTGATTCCAAGATAGATCTTACTTTCGTAAAGTAATCTCTATCAGACCTAGATCACGTATCAATCTACTAATGAATCTGTTACAACTTCAGGTCAATAATGGAAACTGTGGTGCTGATGACTTGAGCACGAAACAGATGAGTTGTTATAGAGTTTGTTAATGATCTCTTCCTCGAACAATTTCTTGCTAAGGCACTTTAATCAAAAACTAGAGCTCTGGTACTAATACTACTACTACTTGTTATTTGTTAATTGTTAATGTACTACTACTTATATGATGACTACTACTACTAATATGCTTCAAATTCCGAACTCTTTGTTGGTTTCACGCTTACAATACTGTACTAATTCACTACTTATCACTAACTCACTCACTTACTAACTTATTCTTCAACTTGGGTGATCAAACTTACCGCAGTAGGCTGATGTACTAACTTCACTAACTAACTACCTATCACTAACTCTAACTCTTCACTTTACTGACACTCCGGAACACTTCCAGTAGCTCAGGATCAACTTACTGCTCTGCGAGACTTCTGTAGGCTGATGGGGAGAAGAGACTTTCTGGTGGGGAGAGGTCCTTCTTTTATATTGAAGAGTGAGGGATTTCTGCTGCAGGGGACTCCTTGTGAGGGAATATTGCTGCAGGGGATCTCACCTGCACAGCCTTTGCGCACAGCCTCCAAACAAATAGCGCAGCTCATGCTGTGCTAGGAACACTTAACTCCAGACCTTGTCACATAATATGTATGCAAGGGAGCACACAAGCGCAGCATGATGTCATGCATCGCCAGGCAACCAAGCCATCTTCCAGAACCAAGCGCAGCATGATGTCATGTGTCGCCAGGTAACCAAGCCATCTTCCAGAACACTCTGCATAGGCAG